ACACCTGAGTGACTAAGGCAGGAAGATTGCTATGAGTTTGATACCAGACTGGAAAGCAGCCTGGTCTACAGACTGAGACGTGTCTCAAAAGAAAGAAAAAAAAAAGAGCTCTGAAAATGCCATCATAACAAGAGAGGACAGTGGCCAGAGCTCACTAGTATCTGAGCGGCCTTCCCAGCCTCATGCCTGGGGAGACCACCACTGAAGGACGGAGCCAGGCCCTCCTGCTGCTGCCCTCCCCTTCCTGGCATCCTGGTGTGCCCAGCTTTTCTGCAGCTACCCGTCTGTTTGCTGGAGGCCTCTGCCGTTAGAAGCAGCGCTCAGGAGAGAGGCAGCCCCTGCCTTCCTGCTTTCTCTCCCTGCGCAAGGGAAGGTGTTCAGGTGGTGTGGCTTCAGCAACCCAGCCTCTGACCTATAGCCTTGTGTCCCTGTGCCCACCCCTTAGGACAAGCTGGCAGCCGCCACCACGGATGAGTGCAAGCCCACCCAGAGCCTTTGCCAACGCTGTGTCGTTAGGGTTGTTTTATTAAAAGGATGCTTGCAGCTGATGGTGACGGGTTAGCTCCTGAGCTGAATCTGCCCAGGTGGCATTCCTCCTTGTCTAAGGGTTTAATAGTCCTTCCTTTCAGCAAATCTTGTTTCATGATCCTTGATGAAAAGGGGGAAGAAAACAGAGTTGGTTTTCCCTCCCCTTAAATAAAAGCCAAGCCTCAGACACTTGCTTTAAGTTCTTTATAAATTTGAGAACAAATAAATGAGCTGCACAGGCTGAGAGGTAATTCTACATCTGAAAAAAAAATCTAGAGGATTCATCCTGGTAAAACGCTAAGTAACGTCTCTAAAATGCCAAGTATTAGCACTAGAGATACTGCTAACAAAAGCAAGATTCCTTTTGAAACATACAAGCAAATTGAATGTGTCCAGTCCCTTCCCCCAATCCTGTGGCCAAGTATGGTACAAAGATATCACTTTGAAGGGCTCTGCACTCAAAACCATATCAAAGAAAATAAGCTCAGGCTGAGCCAAGACGCTCCTCAAAGACGTGTGCAGGCACAAGCCAGAACGAAAACAATTCCAAAAATGCACACAGAAAGAGGGCCCCGCAGAGGAAAATCACACACTTCCGCTAACACTCAGCAGGACCCACTGAAATCAGACCAAATAGCCCGTGTTGGGACCAGGGGCAAATGCACACCTTCCGTAACTGAAACCCGCAACCCAGCCATTAAGAAACACAAGGCACAGAAGAGTGGTATGCATGCCAATATGCAGCGACCTCTCTGCTCTCATGATTCTCACCCCAGCATCCTGGACTCAAGGGAAAAGAGCTCTTTTAGAGATGCCATGGGCTCTTCCTGGGCTGCGTGGGTGCTCCTCTCTGTCCACAGCTTCCTTAAGAGATCACCTTAGCAGTCGCTAAGTCAGAGACAGCCAGAGGTCCACCTTTGGCTTCGCCTTGGTAAGAGCCCAAATGTCCTATGCTATGCCCTTCTCTGTAAGATGGAATGGGTGGACATCATGGGTAACAGGGTATCTCTGTTCCAGCCCATGTCTTGCAAGACACGAAGCATCAGTCGTCACAGACAGAGCGGGACATCCCAGACTGCGGCCTTTAAGACTGGCAGAGAAATACGGGGCAGAGTTCTGGACTATAAAGACACGAGCCTAGCCGTGCTTGGCTCCAACACCACATTCAGAAAATGGCCGCTTTCTTCCTTCTCCACCAAGCCTGGGCTTCCCCTGGCCCTGAGGCACTAAGGGAAATCTTCCTGTTTTGATGACCTCAGTGAAGACCTTCACCACTGACCTTCAGCGGTTTTGCCTGCCTCCTGCTGACGGGGTTCCCAGGCTTCCTGCCTCTCCCCTAAGGAGGAATGCTAGCAGGGGTGGGGAAGTCCCCAGCCTCCACCCAACCAGCTGAGTGAGCCCAGCCGGAAGAGGAAAGGCTGCGTGGGTACCCTGAAAGGCGGGTTCACCCCCGAAACAAATTCCAGGCCACTGGGCCGTTGTGGTAGATTGTAGCCCAGGCCAGACCAAGATGTAATGTGACACCCAGAAGCAGGGCAGTGGCCAAACACTGTCCTCCTCCTTGAGTCTTATGTGCCAGCGACTACATACAATTTTCTTCCAGAAGATGCGTTCCAAATCCTAAGTCCTTTGAAGGTCCACGTCCTTTGAAGTATTTGAAAGTGTGTAGGAAGTAAGGACAGGATGGGGGCTTTCCTTTGGAAACTCCTTATCACTTCCGCCAACACTGCTACACACACACACACACACACACACACACACACACACACACACACACACACACACACACACACACAGAGCCTGGATCCAGGACCTTCCTTCCTAACCAGCTTCCTGGAGGAAGTCCCTCCCTAACAACTGCCTGCAGAGTCTACACAGGGCAGCTGTGTGTGGACCTGCCTGAGGTCTGTGACTCAGGATGACTGAGCCTTACCAGCAGAGACAGCGCTTTGATGAAGACTCGGTGAAGCCAAGAACAGAGCCCTAAGGCCTTGACACTTCAACTTTCCTTGGAACTTCACTAGAAACCCAAACCCCACCATGGGAATCGGGCCTCTATGCTGCCATCAGCCTGGAGGTGGGGTTAGAGTCAGGCAGGTGGGCCGAGGCCTTGCCACCTGTAAACAGACAGGCATGGATGAACAGCCGAGTGTTCCAACATCACTGCGTTTTCTGCCTGTGCTTCTTTTGTCTATGAAGCAATGCAGTTGCTAGCCATCCAAGTCTGTCACTGAGCCACCATCGGCAGAGTGAGGAATATTGGGAGGTCACTGGTGGGGGCCTGCGTGCATATCCAGGCTCCAGGCTCAGCCCCTCCAATTATAGCTCAGTGACCCTGGGCAAGTTCTCCACACTTCAGGCCTAGTGTCTTCATTCATCAACTGAAATGTTTTGTTTTGCTTTTTAAATAAAGAATTGTTTGAGATAGTCTACATCCATACACAAAGGGCTTAGCCAAGTGTGGAGAAATAGCCTATAACTAATAAACAATTTTCGTAATGTACCCAGTTCAGACTTAGCTCTGCCATGGAGGGGCTAGCACAGTTGGTTTTCCCATCCTGTTTCCAGTCTTCCCCAGGCTCTACTTGGTCTCTTTAGGACATGCGCCCTTCCTGAATCCCTGCCCGGGCCCTCTGAGGATCACCCCAAACCAGCTGCCCACAAGGACTCTCAAGTTCCAGTCGTCACACTGACCCCTCGTTGCTGGGCTGTGTCTCCAACATCATTCTGCTTCATTCTGTCCTGATGTCTCTCCATCGCTACAGACGGACTATCTGAACTGAGACTCAGTTTCTCAACTCTGGCGTGCCAAGCACCATCAGCTACGTACCTGAGAACTGAGCCTCCCCTGTAGGCAACCTCAGCACAGCTCTGCTTCCCTTCTTATGGCCAACCTTGCCCCAAGGAGTGCAGAACTGGGAGCTTTCAGAGGGCTGTGGTGGTGTGGTCACAATGAGTGCGGCCACGCCCATGTTGCCATGGTCGCCGAGTCTCTGTTCTAAAACTCTATAGTTGATGCTACTCCATGGTTCCAAAGGCACCAGTGAGTCCCACTGACTTCTGTTCTCTCCTCTACCTCCCAGGCCATTGGCTGAGATGCTGTTCAGATGATGAGAGCAAGGTGAACGGGCGGGGGAAGGGGGGCGGCAGAAGCAGAAGTGTTCTCACAAAGGCAGAGAAACTCCTAGGGCACAGGCCCATCCATCACACGCTCACTCATCAGCCACCCACTGAGTGGGCATCGGGTGCAAATGTCTGTTTTTGTTTTTATTTTCATAGGATACACCACTGTTTCCTCGCTCAGACCATAAGATGTTCCTTTTGGAGTAATGGTTCTCAAGCTGTGGGTTGCAACCCCATTGGGGCCTCATATCCGATATCCTGCATCAGATATTTGCATTACTATTCATAACAGTAGAAAAATTATCGTTATGAAGTAGCAACAAAATACTTTTATGGTTGGGGGCCACCAAAGCATGAAGAATTGAATTAAGGATCGCAGCATTAGGAAGGTTGAGAACCACTGCTCTAGAGGCTTTCTCTCTGGTCATTTTGGTGGGAAGAGGTATTGCTGTATAATACAGAGGCACTTGTCCACGCTCACCAGTGTAAACTACTGTATCTCAGAGATGGGGCGTATCAGAGTGATGTCTGATGATCCAATGTCTACGTGTGTGTGTGTGTGTGTGTGTGTGTGTGTGTGTGTGTGTGTGTGTGTCCTGCCTCTCTCTTTCCTTTCTATTGCTTGCATCTGTTCTGCACTCAGTGATATTCTCATGTGGGCAAGTATACTATCAGGAGGCATGTTCTTCAACAGCACGGACCTCAGGTATCTTGGAACTGGTCACTGGCTCCAGCCATTGGCATAGAGGTCTAGCAGGCTGGGTGCATAGAAGGGTGACTTAAACTCAACAGAAGACCACAGCTCGGTGTCAGCATTCTTCTTCTTACATCTGTGTGCTCCACTCCAGGGAAGTCTCAGCATCCCCATCACTTAAGGCTGGGTCAAAGAGAGCAAAGGGGAGGGGAACTAGCCTACACCGCTAGCCCTGGCTGCTCTGTCCTCTGCCTGAACTGTTAGCCCTGGCTGCTCTGTTCTATGCCTCAGTGCTTGTAGGCCTTCAGGGAACTCCAGGAAAGCAAGAGCCCAGTGCCTGCCCCACAGTGGGAGCTCAGGAAATGACAACCCGCAGCACTGCTGGTCCCATCAGGACTCTTCGGAAGCAAGAGCTCTTCATCCTAGTTCCCCCAGGGCAATCGTGTTTCTTAAGGTGACATGGGTAATACTGAGTTCTTTGGGAGTCTGAACTCAGGTCTGTTTGACTTCCAAGCCCAAGCTCAATAGTCTCCACTCAGAAGCCCTTGAAAAGCCAACCGTTCTGGGCAAGCAGGAAGCACAGACAGGTTGACACTGTGAGGGGAGCAGGAATGGGAGAGACCACGTAAATCAGGAACACGAAGAGTGGCCATACCCGCTCTGGTGTTGGGGAAATGATGAGCTCCACCGTGTGACAGCCAGCTTCCTTCCTCCAAAGCCCAGGTCTCACTGAGGTCCATGGTTCCACTGACCCCCTCCTGCATGCAGCTCTCAGATCAAACTCCTGGAAGACAGAGAGAAAAGGGACGTGGGTTACTACTGAAGCTCTCATGGGGACTGAAGCCGTCTCGGTTTAAAGTAACCAGTTTCCAGTCCATTCTGTTCTTTTGGCTTGCAAGCTTATTATGAAGATATGGGCATGGCCAGAGTGTGAGGTTGCTGAAGTCCCCAGGCCACACCCCTCTGTCCATTTGGTTAAGAGATGCTCTTGAAGCAGCTGTCATCATTCTTGGTCCTTGGGCAAAGAACTTCCTTTTTACTTTCATGTATTTATTACAGACTCCTAGAATTTCAGAGAGAGAGTTGGGGAGAGGAGGGGAAGAAGGAGAGAGGAGGTAAGGGAGGAAGAAAGATGGAGGGAGGAAGGGAAGGAAGAGAGGAAGAGAGAACATAGTCTTGTGTATGTGTGTGTGTGTGTCTGTCTGTCTGTCTGAAAAACAGACCAAAATTCTTCAAATTAAAAGGCTGTAACTACCTGTCATTATGTTGGATTCCTTTCTTTCTTTCTTTCTTTCTTTCTTTCTTTCGTTCTTTCTTTCTGTAAATTTCTGCAGTTCCATAGAAGTTTCAATAATGAGGAAGAGTATTGCAATAAATATTATGTTAAAGGGAAACTCCAAAGCCACAAATGACCCTGGAGACCAATTTCCCACTTCTATTTGCAAAGCCCAGTAGGAAGGCTTGTTTCACAAGGTCTCTTGGCTTCCATGAGAAGGTCCAACTGCCACACTAGCTACCCCTGAGAAGTCATCCTGGGAGTTAAACTGCGTCATGGCCAGACTTTTCCCCACATGACAAAGCAATCTTCCTAACACTGTGCAGGGAGCAGGGCTTCAGATGAAAGTGGGTTTTGAATAATTGATCACAACTGAATCACATCTGTAAATGTGGCAAGCGAGACCACCCTGGCAGAAACCCTGAAGCCTAATTGGATGGGCACAGCTGATGGTTTGCTGTAATCAGAGCAACTGGCTTGATTTGGTCTCTAAAGCCTCCAGAATGCTGTTAAGAGCTGTCCTGTGAGTCTCTGAGGAGCCTGCAGGGCTGCAGACAGAGCGAATGGATAGATTGCTGCTCTTTTGATGGGGCACCCCTGGGGGTTGTACCAAGCAAATCATCTGATGAAGTACCATACCAAGTGAGATGGAAACTGTGATGCACTTGCCAGAGAGCTCACCAGAAACCTGTGTTCAGTCAGGTTTTAGTGCCTCCAGGTTTTAGAAGAGAATTCCAAACAGGAGTGACTATGACATGGTGAATTGGTGATAGCACTGGACTTCAAAATTCAGATCTGAGCCTGGCTCGAGCACTAACTTTGAACAAATTCTTTTACCCAGGCTAAATTTTTCCACTCTGACTGAAAGAACTAAGAATTGATGTTGTCAGAGGATGCTCCAGGCTTCCAAAGTTTACAGGATAGACTATTCTACTTTTATATATGTGGTGATTAGAAGGAGGATGGTTCCACGGGCTCATATTGTTAAATGCTTGGCCCCCAGTGGGTGGAACTGTTTGGGAAGGATTTAGGAGGTGTGGCCTTGTTAGAAGACATATATGGCTGGGAGTAGGCTTTGAGGTTTCAAAAACCCATGCCACCCCCAGTCTCTGTCTCTGTCTCTGTCTCTGTCTCTGTCTCTCTCTCTCTCTCTCTCTCTCACACACACACACACACCTGCTTGTGGAGCAGACATAAGCTCTCAGCTACTGCTCCAGCACCATGTTTGCCTGCCTGCCACCATGATTATCATGTACTCTAACTCTTTGGAAACGGAACCCCAATAAACTCTTTCTTTTGTAAGCATTCTTGATCATGCTATCTCTTCATAGCAATAGAAAAGCAATACGCAAAGGCAGCCTCTCTCCTTTCTCCTATGTCAGTGGACTGAGGGTGGGGGGCTGCACTATTTGTTCCCTGGCTAACTAAGCATGTAATAGGTAGCCAACTGAGCTAGAGGTTTCAAACTATTAAGCAAGAGACATTCTCTGAGTAAAACTAAGAATATAAGCCAAGTTGGATGGCATATGCCTTGTCAGCACGTCAAAGATGAAGATGGCGGATCAAAGGTTCAAGGTCATTGTCAGCTACATAGAAAGGTCTAGGCCAGCCTGCACTGCATGAGGTATCCCCTAAAACAAAACAGAACTAAAAACTAAAAACACGATTCTGGAGAAATCTAATCCTGGGTCATGTTCACAATGGCATCATTTAATGGCATGAAAAAGGTCCATTAATATTTATGTCTTTATTGATCACTAGATAATATTAATAATACTAATATATCCTGAAAAAGATTTTATTTACAACATACTAGAAATTTCAAATCACTTTCTTATTAATCTTTGCAGTATCCTTGAGGAGCTAAAAAATTCCAAGAGCTTTGACTTTTAATTGCTAATCAGAGAATAGTGTTCAAAGTTGATACCTCTGCCCCACTAATATAGATTTGCAAGATGCTGTCTTCTGAATGTGTGGGCTTAGACTTGAACCAATGAATTTAGTTTTAGTCACCTGAACTTTTTATATTCCTTTCTGTAGACCCCACTAATGTCAATGGCACCTGAATTTCACACCTTAGCTTAGGAAAACTGAGAGTCGAATATGAAATGAAATTGTGGGACTGAAATATCACAAAGAAGGCTTGGGATCGGTCACATCTATTACTGAAACCAGAACTATTCCTTGAGTCCGAGAAAACCCTGGGGTTACCCATAAAACTCTAGAGCTCAGAAAATAGTTTCCAGGTCTCTGTCCTTACAAAGCAACTTGTCCCGTGTTCTTCCCCAAGTATTTAACCTCTTCCCAAGTAAAAATCTCAAAGGCTGAGTATAATTTAGAAAGCCATAGGAATTTGGTGACTATGAGAACAGGGAGTGGAGACTACTTAGCATGCGGGACAGAGCATGCAGTAAGACGTATACTTGGAACAACCGCTTTTGTAGAGATGAACTGTCTACACACATGGACATTACTAGGGGCTGAGATACCAGGATGCTGTGAGGACGCTCTTACTATTTAATAAATGTTGGGCGAGTAAGTGAAGGAGTAAATGAAAATGACAAGGGAGTGAGGGTCCCAGCCAGGAATTCCATCCTCTAAAATTTCCACAGGAGACACGCTCATTTTGGTGAAGTGCAGCCAGCCAAGTGAGTAGTAGGGTCTTCAGAAGTGTGGGGACTTAGCAGCATCACTCAGCTGACTTGAGACTGACAGCCTCTGCTCTATGTGTGTGTGCGCGCCTCCTAAGTGAGACATTCAGCCAGCTACTCAGACCAGAAGCCTGGCCAACCGTCCTTGGCTGATCGTGTTCACATCTAGCCAGAGCTGGCCTTTGGAGAGGCTCTCAAGCCGAATCTGTCTGTGCTGGTTCTCACCTCACTCACCCACTGCTCTGAGGTCCTCCTCTCCTCTCCTATGTCCTGTTAGCCACACTATTGTTGTAACAGGTGTTTCTGAAACCTGTCTGATGATGTCACTCCCCAATTGAATTGACTCACTGTCCCTAGGACAAAGTGAGGACTATTCAATGGTGCACACAGGATCCAGCTACGGCTGGGGTATGCAACTTCCCGAATAGGCTTCCTCCTTGGTCTTTTGAGTCTTTGGCCGTTCATAAAATTGGAGCAGGGTTATCTGGGCTACTCACCATCCTCGCCTTGCGAGCTACAACCTACCCTGCCTACCTCCCTTTTGACTGGTCACGTGTTCCAAGCTTCTGCTCTTGGTGTCCACGACACTGTGCCCATGCCCGAGACGTTGGGTAAACAGTTTACCGGCTTAGAACAGAACACAGTTTACCGGCTTAGAACAGAAACGGTACCTCCTTTGCATTGGCATATTTACATTTTCCCAGAGGCCGTCACAGAGTAAACAATACAGATGTGTTGAGCAAATGGATGCTCTTAGGAAGGAGTCAATGAGTGGCTGTGTTCGGCACGAACCTATCTCAGTCTAAGTCTCGTTGGAAAGCACCCTGTCGACACCCTCACCCACATCCTCTGCCGTGGTGATTTCTCCACCTTGGCACACCATATCTACCTCTGCTTCTACCTGGTCCTGGTCCCTGTCTAACTTAAGAGGCGGAGATCCCCTAACCCAGGATTTCACATCAGCACATATCTGTCCACCAGCTTGCCATGTCTGTGTAGACACCAACCTCCCTAAAGCAGCTGAGTCCCACCTGGGGTCCTAGTCAGCAGGGCCATTTCTGCCGTTATGAACTTGACCTAGAAATACAGTTCGGAAGAGCTGACTGCGTTTTGTCTGTCTATTCTGCCATCTTGACATTCCGTCTGTCAAGGAACTGATAAAGTACAAGCACCATGCTTGCAGACTCGGGTGGAGAATCGGGTGGTATCATTGTGGCTAAGGGAATTAAACACCCATTGGTTCCAAGGAATGTAGACAGGACCATGGCAAGCAAGATTATGCTCTGATAACTTGAGCTGTACATTAAAATATACACCAATGTGTATATGTACACATATATGCATACATATAAATTCACCCATTCATTGGATGAATATTTACGCAGTGCTCCTATATCCCAGTCACTGGACTAAGCACTTGGAGTCAAGAAGGTTAGATTTTGTCCCTTTCTTCAAAGAGTTGTCAGAGTTGTTGGGAAAAACCTATCTGGATAGATCAGCACCTAACAATGTTCAGGGGAACATGGAGGCTCAAAGAGTTGTCAGAGTTGTTGGGAAAACCTATCTGGATAGATCAGCACCAAACAATGTTCAGGGGAACATGGAGGCTCAAAGAGTTGTCAGAGTTGTTGGGAAAACCTATCTGGATAGATCAGCACCGAACAATGTTCCAAGGGAAACATGGAGGCTCACACAGGGAAACACAAGGATTTGCAGACAGTAAAAACTAGAAGTGGGAAGATGATCTGGAGGTCTTAGTCCCAGCTTCTCCATGGTTCCCTGGCAAATGCTACTCAGCCTGAGCTGAAACGCTACCAGGATTGCAGTGCTCCCTCACTCCCCAGATACCCCTGCCCC